AGGTGAGGCGGGTCGCGTCGCGTCGCGTCGTTCCGCACCCGGAGGGGGGAACGGGAGGAAAGGAAGCGTCGTGGAAATTGAGGGGTCCGTCGCGCTGCCGCGGCTGGTGGTCAGTTGCGCGGCCTGGTTGCAGCCTTGCAGGACGACGGGACGGTTGGACTGGATGGATGGATATGCTACGATCTGTGGGCGGGCGGGCGGTGGGGCCTGCTGGGAGCCTTTTGGGAACTGCCGGTTGACCTTCGGCTTTTGAATCTCTGCTCCCTCTAGTCTTTTTCTTTTGCTCAAACAGAAATGCTCACATAGAAGGGGCTTCTTTCTGGAATTTAGGGTCTATTTTGGTTTGAATATTCAGCTAGCAATATTGGAGGAGTTAATTTCTTAAAATTTTGGATTTGTGTGACTGGAAATAAATCATTGTTTCCTGCGGTATATTTTGTATGTATTTTTAAAGGAATAAAATCCATATAATGCAACCTTGTGGAAATCTTCTTTATTTCATTGGAAATTATAACATACTTAATATTTTATTGGAAAAAAAATCATATGGCCAACCAAACAAATACTACTACCAATTCATGTGTTTTCAGTTTTTATTTCTATAGGATTGGAATTGTCATGACATTGGATTCTTATATATATTTCCTATTCATAGATTTTTCTTTACTGGGTTTTTCATATCCTTCTACTCGATTGGTTCTTAGCCGATGGTTCTACCCTTAGTTTTCATCTATGATCAATTTTGCCTCAATCTATTGTGTACTCTTATGGCAATACACATCTCTTCCCTTTCATCCAATCAAAGGCATTTGACCGTGACCTGGGCATTTGTGGACAATGGCGGAGGCACGGGGGGGGAGCAGGGGCCCGGGCCCTCCCCAACATTAGTCACTTCTTTGTATTTTGGGCGTGAACAGTATTTTTTGTTATGTTTTCTTAATCGGGCCCCCCTCAAGATCATAAATTTACGATTCCTGCCTCCGCCACTGTTTGTGGACCATTCCGCTGCTCCTTACATGTGGGCCCGCTAAATAAATGTGGTGTCGTGTTCTCTTACTGGTGGGATACACCCAAGGAGAAAAAAAGAGGCGTCGCAGGTGGGACTCGACTCGGAACAAAAACGAACAAAGGAAATAACCAACCTCTTGTCGTGGTTTTGTCACGGCAGATGTCCTCGTGAAAAGGCTTAGTCGTGGAGCCATCGCTACGGGTTAGCTTAAAGGGGTTAAAGCGGACAAAGGATGGAAGAGTTTATACTGGTTCGGCCCCTTACGATGAAGGTAAAAGCCTACTCCAGTTGTGATGGTATTGCTAGGGTTTCGATGACCAAGGAGCGAATCCGTTTTGCCTGGCTCTCGAGTTGTTGTGTGTTGTCCCTAAACTGCCGCCGGGTCGCCCCTTTATATACATAGGTTGACGCCCGCCGGTTTACAGAGTCCCGAGGCCGGATCATCAACGTATCCAACTCGGTATATATTCCTTCTATCTTATAATACAAGTTACATGATAATGTCGGTTTATGTCTACAGGCCTTAACCCGCCTTTGGGCCTTGGGCCTTCATGAAGCGCCATCATCATTTGTCTTCCTGGACTTCAAATAGTAATCATCATAGAGTTAACCCGGCCACTCCTGGCCGGTTTACGTCCAGTAATAATATCCCCAACATTAGGCCCCAGATTGATTTGAACTTGTTCATGTGGGCGGGCGGTGGGGCCTGCTGGGAGCCTTTTGGGAACTGTCGATTGACCTTTGGCTTTCGAATCTCTGCTCCTTCTAGTCTTTTTCTTTTGCTCAAACAGAAATGCTCCCTCCAGTCTAGAGGTGATAAAACTCACATAGAAGGGGCTTTTTCTGGAATTTAGGGTCTATTTTGGTTTGAATATTCTGCTAGCAATATTGGAGGAGTTAATTTCTTAAATTTTTGGATTCGTGTGACTGGAAATAAATCATTATTTCTTGTGGTATATTTTGTATGTATTTTTAAAGGAATAAAATCCATATAATGCAACCTTGTGGAAATCTTCTTTATTTCATTGGAAATTATAACATACTTAATATTTTATTGGAAAAAAATCATATGGCCAACCAAACAAATACTGCTACCAATTCATGTGTTTTCAGTTTTTATTTCTATAGGATTGGAATTGTCATGACATTGGATTCTTATATATATTTCCTATTCATTGATTTTTCTTTACTAGGTTTTTCAAATCCTTCTACTCGGTTGGTTCTTAGCCGATGGTTCTACCCTTAGTTTTCATCTATGATCAATTTTGCCTCAATCTATTGTGTACTCTTATGGAAATACACATCTCCTCCCTTTCATCCAATCAAAGGCATTTGACCGTGACCTGGGCATTTGTGGACCATTCCGCTGCTCCTTACATGTGGGCCCGCTAAATAAATGTGGTGTCGTGTTCTCTTACTGGTGGGATACACCCAAGGAGAAAAAAAGAGGCATCGCAGGTGGGACTCGACTCGGAACAAAAACGAACAAAGGAAATAACCAACCTCTTGTCGTGGTTTTGTCACGGCAGATGTCCTCGTGAAAGGACTTAGTCGTGGAGCCATCGCTACGGGTTAGCTTAAAGGGGTTAAAGCGGACAAAGGACGCAAGAGTTTATACTGGTTCGGCCCCTTACGATGAAGGTAAAAGCCTACTCCAGTTGTGATGGTATTGCTAGGGTTTCGATGACCAAGGAGCGAATCCGCTTTGCCTGCCTCTCGAGTTGTTGTGTGTTGTCCCTAAACTGCCGCTGAGTCACCCCTTTATATACATAGGTCGACGCCCGCCGGTTTACAGAGTCCCGAGGCCGAATCATCAACGTATCCAACTCGGTCTCTATTCTTTCTATCTTATAATACAAGTTACATGATAATGTCGGTTTATGTCTACAGGCCTTAACCCGCCTTTGGGCCTTGGGCCTTCATGAAGCGCCATCATCCTTTGTCTTCCTGGGCTTCAAATAGTAATCATCATAGAGTTAACCCGGCCACTCTTGGCCGGTTTATGGCCAGTAATAATATCCCCAACATTAGGCCCCAGATTGATTTGAACTTGTTCATGTCAATCTTCAACACTTAGGAAAATTCCTTCCCTTGCACTTTCGCATAGAGCTTGTAAACCGCCCTGACGTCATCCTCTGGATTTGTAGTAAACCGTCGTGACATCACCTGTTCATTTAAAGCCGAAGATACCCCTTTTATTAATGAGCATCCAACAATTGAGGCAACAATCTCGTTATCTATCCATTTTTGGGCTCCTCGATTCCCGCGCATGTCGCTTATCTCTTTGTCCTTATAAATAGGGCGGAGGACCCCTTCCTTTTCTTTCTGTTGCCTTCTTCTCTCTTCTTCCTCCTCGCGACGCCTCCGCACCCGAGCACCGCCGCCATCGTCGAGCTTCGTCTCTGCCTCATCGTTGGTCGCTGCATCGACCTGATCGCTCCAGAGAGACGCGGCTCACCTCCGCTACTTCGATAGCTCTTGTAAGCCTTCTCCTCTTTCCCTGTAGATCCACTTAGGGTTCGTACGAGTTCATGGTGCTCCCTTCCTGTTCTTCGTCAGTCCGTATATAGCAGACCTAAGACTTGATGCATTTCGTGTGGTAACTATGGTAGTCCTTATCTCAGCCATTAAACGAAACCTTGTACACATAAGAACTTTGATCTAGACCTTTTGTGAACTGCTTCAGGACCATACTGTTTTTAGGTCGAAATCTTTTCCCTTTTCTTGACTTGCGGTAGATCCAAAACGCGAACGTGATTCTGTGAAACCTGTTTTTCTTCACTTAGCCATTTTTTGCTTCAGATCTGTACTTTTTTTACCTGCACAGGCGGTTTATCTCTGTAGAAAATAACCTGTCATATGCCATTAGTCCCCTTGTAAACCGTTCATCGCTTTACCACTTATAAACACTCTGTCGTAGGCGGTTTATAACTTCCTCCGGTTTATCAATTTCGCATGCTTGAATTCCTTTTTCCTCAACCTGTTGTACTTTATGCATTGTCATTAATGAATCATAAACCGGCATTATTCCTTTCCAGCTCTTCACTTGCAATGGCCAAGCAATTCTATTCTTGTAATTGGGCTCCTTCCCGGGTTACTGAAGAACAACTGAATGGAATGGTCAAAATTGGTACCTTAACGAAGAAAAATGAAATCCGATGGTGAGTTCCTGGGCCGGAAAATCCTCCTACCCCCAGAGATGGTGAAGTAGTAGTGTTTGCTGATCATATAGGCCGTGGTTTTAAACCGCCTGGATCCAAGTTTTTTCGGGATGTACTTGCCAGCTTTCAGATCCACCCTCAAGATATTGGACCCAACTCTGTACCCAATATCTGCAACTTTCAGGTGTTTTGTGAAGCCTATCTACAAGAAGAGCCGACTGTCGAGTTGTTCCGAGATTTCTTCCACTTAAATCGTCGCACTGAATTCGTAGACGGGCCCAATACTGAACTCGGTGGCGTCTCCATTCAGAAAAGGAAGGATGTTAGTTTTCCTCATGCCAAACTTCACAGTCACCCAAAGGAGTGGAATCAAACTTGGTTCTATTGCAAAGACACCTCTCCTGAAGATGAGAATCCTCTACCGGGCTACCATACTCACCGGCTTGCCAATACTCATCCGCTTCCGCAATGACTAAGTGCCAAGGAACGGGCATCATATGCACCATAACTCGCCAAACTTAGAGCTTTCATGGCCAACGGTTTAACAGGTGTGGACTTCGTTCGTTGCTGGATGTCCTGGAGTATCTTGCCGTTAAGTCGCCGCTCTGGTTTAATGTGCGAGTACACCGGTGATGTAAAACACTCCCAACATCATATTGACATTCAGCTAACAGATGAGGAAGTTACTGAGTCTGCCAAGAAAGTGTTGAATGAACCGGAAGCTGTCTGTAGCAAGACCAGGTTAAGTCCCTTTTACACATAGAACAAACCGCTTGCTGTAATAATTGTTTTGCTTCCGCTTTACACCTGGTATTTTTGAACTGTGCAACTTTTAATACCCTCTGCCCATGTTTTAAACAGGGTGATGATCTGTTCTAGAAAAAGAAATCACAGGAGAAAGCGGTGAAGCCTTCTCATCCTAAAACGAAAGTTGTCAAGAAAACTACGAAGAAGAGGGCAACTGAACCCATCGATTTAGAGCTTGATGATGACCCTGATGAACCGGAAGCAGAGGTAGAACTTGATTCACTTGGTTCACTTTTCATGCACCTCATTGACAATGATATTTATCAGGAGGACGCTGAGGGCAGCCAAGCTGACGATGCAGAGGTAATTATCCTTTCCTCCGGTTCAGACCCTCTGCCAACACAAAAAATCCGTCAAGCAGTCCAGAAAGTAAGATTTTCTCACCCTCTTGCTTACTTGGATCCAAAATTTCTTTTGAAGAAGCAGCAGCACGAGGCTCGCCGCACAACCCGGCACAGCGGCCAAACGGTCACTTCGACCGGTTTACCAAACACCCCGGTTCGAAAATGCCAACCTGAGGTCTCACCCACTTCTGACACTTCTTATCCCAAGGTAGGCTATTTCCAACAACCTCTTAATCCGTCCGATTCGAATTATTAGGTAACACCTCCTTCATCATCCGACGAATCAACGGCCACACAACTCCCTCCTCTCAAGACCGTTGCTCGGTAAGTATTTCAACTCAATCTTTTGATGCTTTATACTTTGTATGCTATGTTAACCTTTGCATATGTTCTCCTTTTTTTAGAGCCAAGGCCAGACCCAGTAAGAAGGCTCGGGTGAATAACGACCATGTGGTGATTGAACTGGAGCCGACTACGGAACCGGAAGGTCAAAATACTGAAGCCATGTTTGATGAACCGCCCCCTCAAAATCATAATGTTGATGAACAAGTACAAGTTGATACCGCTGTGCAAGCCGATAAACTGGCAAGTCCAGTCCGAACTGATGATGGACCTTCTAATCCAATTAAGGCTACTGATATTCCATCAACTCCAAAAAAAGCCGCTGGCAAGAAGGAAGATGAGGTTATCATCACTGGCGCTGGCCACACATCCCCTGGCCATCCTGTTGTACTGGCAAAACATAGTGCCAAAGAAGAACGTGTTGCGATGGAGAAAGGCAAGTGGAGCACCGATTTATCAAGCTATGCCCACCTTAACGCCCAAGAGCTCCATTCTGGTTTTCTGAACCGTCTGTACTCAAACCGTGACTATGAAGCCGG